CAAGGGATAAAGAGATAGGTTAGTGTTGTAAAGCGGGCTAAGGTTGACGACGTCTGAACCGTGTCAGGTGTCGCCCGCACGGAGAAGTATAGTCACGGTTGGGGATGGGGAGGAGGAGAAAATGGGGAAGGCGACCAACACGGACACACCACACACACAAAACAAAAACTAACGGGGTATCAACCCCAAACTGTACCCACCCTGGGGAACTTTCCCGGAGGATGGGAGAACCTAAGTGGGGGTGTAGCTAAACTAAGCAGGGTTCCACTCAACCCCCCAGCTCCAAACCAGGATTAAACAGAGTGGTGTGACACTCACAATAGGTAACTCAGCGTGGTCAGCACCTTTCAAGGTAAACATTAACAGTTATTGTAAGCAAAAGATAGAACATTATGCAACATGCATTTTAGCAATATAAGTAGCCTGTGGAGAATACACAACATAGCCTATGTATCTTGGGGTTTCCTTCCCCCCTCCTCCACCCCCCCAATTTGGCGAGTCCTCACTAAATATCATGGGATAAGTGATGCTGCGACCCAGAGCCTGTTTTTTATACACTTGTGACCCTAGGAGGTTAGGAGTGGACTGCGGGCATAGTGGGTTCTACCGAATGTTTAACATATCAATGTGGTGGATTCTGACAACATACGGATTAGGCCTCTGAGGCCGGAACTCAGTCCGCTTTCGACACTCGGAGTTCCTAATTGATGACCCAATGGGTGCAGTGTTGGGGCTTTATGGGGGGTGAATGCTCGTCCACTGCCGCCGGCCTGGAATACATCCGGTAACTTACCCCCCTGCACAGTTCCCGAGGGTTATGCGGTGAAGTTCAATGAAGCCCGGACCTTGCTCCAATAGAGACTATAGACAGGAATGGCCCCAGATATTAGAAGGCACAAACAGGAACATGGATTCTCTAGGCTGGGGCTATATAGGTCCCTCAAAGTTCGCTGGCAGTCCCCCTGGAGGAAGACCTTCTCCGGCGGCGTTGTTGTGGTGGCCTCTGAGGCATGGCGTAGGATGCTTGATGCCCGCTCTGCCTGGCGTTTCCTCTCGGCAGGTGTTGCAACCAGTCAGGGACCGGGAAAGGCTCCATCTCCAGGAATTCAAACATGGCGGGCAGATCTGCCCTTTGTCGCAGGGCAAAGGTTTGGGCATTCTTGCGCACGAGTAGATGGAAGGGAAACCCCCAGCGATAGACAATACCTGCCTCCCTCAATCTGGTCAGGAGCGGCCTCAGGATAATTCTCTGTTGGAGGGTCGCCCTGGAGAGGTCCGGCAGGATCTTCACGGATGCCCCATCGAAGTCCAGAGGTCTATGTGACCAAGTTTTGCGCAGGATTTCTTCCTTGATCGGGAACTTCTGTAGACGGCATACAATGTCACGGGGACGTTCCGGGTCTTCGGAACGCGGGCCCAGCACCCTATGAGCCCGGTCTATGTCGATCACCGTATTAGGTGGGTTACCCAATAGGGAGTTGAAAATAGCTACCACTGTGTCGTGTACATTTTCTGGGCCCGTTGCCTCTGGGATACCCCGAAGTCTCAGATTGTTTAGACGATTTCTATCTTCCAGGTCTTCAATATGGAGGTGCATGTCAGACAGCATGGCGGATTGGATGTCTCTAGCCTCCTCCAATTCCCGCAGTCTGATTGAGATGGCTGCTGTGGCTGTCTCCCCTCCCTCTACCCTAGCAGTCAGCAGGATGATGTCTTGTTTAGCCCCCTGGATCTCTCTCCTGTGGTTCTTCTCCAGTTGCGTGCTGCCTTTGCGAGCAGTGTGTCACGTCGCGGGATGCGACGTCTGGCCGGTTGTTACACACGAGCCGATTGGCTGAAGGTGCAGTCAATCATCTGACTGCACTCAGCTCACACACTGCACGCGAAGCTCCGTGCCGGAGAGCTTTGCTTCGCTCTGCACTGCTTCGCGTGCAGTGTGTCACGGCCTTTTGTGGGCAGCAGACGGATAAAGGCCCCTATATCCAGAGCATCGGGACACTGTGGCAGGGCTGGGTTCCCACTCTGCGGGTAAGAGCCCATCTCGCCCCTATGGATGTCTTGCGGGGCGTTATTTAGTGGCTCAATCTCAGGAGAGGGGGGTGGGGAGGTCTGGGATGTGGATGGCGATCGGCGTGTGTCCGACCCCAGCCGCGCGCCACTACTCGAGGCAGCGGCTTTTTTGAGGCCTACTTCCGTGCTCGTCTGTGCCACGTGTGAGAAAAACGCCTGCAGTTTGCCCGGCGCTTGCGGTCTGGGTGTCTCAGTCATCTTCTTCTGGTGGGTTTTTCTCATCTTTGTGGCTCGTTTGGTGCTTTAAATCTTCCTGGCTATGGAGCGGTGAGGGAGAGCCGGAGAAGAAGCGTTCTCACTCCGCCATAGCTAGGACACGCCCCCACATATCTAATTTTTAACAATTATATTAATATGTAATTTCTTTTGTTTTAATGGGCTCGCCAATTTAGGCTCTTTTAGTAATTTTACCCATTTTATCTAGCACAGTCTTTTACATTTTGAAAGCATGAATCCAGATCTACTAAAGTTTTCATATAATGCAATATTTTATATTTTGGTTAACAGAAGTTTTGGGCATTTTCAAAACCCCAAACATTGCTTTAGTAATATGTATCGTTATCTAATAAAAATAATTATTTAAACATGTAGATATTTTCAACAATTGTATATTCACAAATTGGCGGGTTTAGGGAGGGCACATTGCGGAATCTGGCTTTGAGGCAGCAGGGAGAGTAAATCCAGCCCTGATGGCACACATGTGATCCTCAATCAAAAGGTTTCTGGTGGCTCTATCTCTGCATAATACACGTAATCATGTAATTCCTCCAGGAATCATAATTGGGTGGGGATGGACCTCAAGTACAACCATGAATGTTTAATATTTTTAGGGTTAGGGGTGAGTAAATTTTCCAGTTTCTGAACTGTAAATTTTCCTACTGAAAAAAAAAAGACTTTCTCAATTTAATCCTAAAAAATGTATATAAATCCAAAATATATTGCTACAATGCTTGGGATGTCTTGCTGTATACAATTTTGTTAAACAAGTAGTTTTTTGCAAATTTTCTTATCTAGAGATCCTGCCAGTGACAGACTTCCTTGCAGGCTGACAATGCTAAGCCATTGCCTTTCAATCAGCGGCAGCATTGTCAGCCTGTCGTGCTCTCCTTCAGTTGGCTGTTGGGCTGCCTATCAGGTTTATCCATCTAAAAATCTAATTGTCCTTTGAATGATTTTGATTGTTCTGTTTATTTCATTTGTTATTTTTATTTTTTTGTAAAGAAACACACTTTTTAAATAAAGGCTTTACATCATATGCTTCACTTTTTTTTTGTATTGAAAACATACATTTAGCATCATATTAAACTGAACAAACCACAAAATACAATGGTTACTTTAGCTTTAGGAACACCAGCTAAAAAGTTCTCTAATTACCTATATTTGACTGTATCTGTCATTGGGGAAAAAAAATATTGTTTAACTTTTTTTCTATTTAAAATATATTGAAAGTTAAATAATTCTTGGAAGATTGTACTACTTAAACTGACACTTAACTCAGGAGTTAAATCTTAAAAATGCATTTAAGTACACTAACTATTAACAACAATGTATCTTATTTGTGTATCACTCGGCTGTAGATCCTCCAATCATCTCTGAGTTGGTGCTGACACTGTCCTTCCTTCTGGAGGGGGGCTACGTCTGTTCCCCATGGTCCCAGTGTGTGTTGCAAAGTAGTCACCGCTCCAAGCTCGCTCCCGGGATGGACTACAATCTCATGTTTAGTTTATTAATTTGTATTGCGATTGTAGTCCATCCCGGGAGTGATCTTGGAGCCGTGGCTACAACACACACAAGGACTATGGGGAACAAAAGCAATCACCGCTCCAAGCTCGCTCGCGTGGTGGACTACAATCTCAATACAAAATGAGTGAACTAAACGTGAGATTGTAGTCCAATAGAAAATCTAACTAAATTATATTCTTATTAACCCTATTATGCATTATTTAATTCCATTCTCCCCTCTCCCTTTAGCTGTGATTTTTGTGCTTACCACATCTATCAATAAGCCCTGGCCTCCCATGACTCTGTTGCTGGTTCACCAGTTTTCCTTCCTTGGACCACTTTTGGTCGGTCCTGACCACTGCAGACCGGGAACATCCCACAAGAGCTGCAGTTTTGGAGTTTCTCTGACCCAGTCATCCAGACATCACAGTTTGGTCCTTGTCAAAGTCCCTCAAATCCTCACATTTGTCCATTATTTGTGCTTTCAACACATCACTCTAGAAACGTCAGTTAAACTGACTGTAGTAAGAAAATCTTCTCTGTCTAAATACCTAAAAAAAATGACCACACAAAGAACGATGCACTAGCCAACATATTGTTTTCTGGTGGAGAAAACTTGTTGCGGAAATCCTAGAAAGATTTAATTTAAAGCAGATGATTCTGCTTCATGTTGTTTTGTAATACAACATCAAAATTAGGTAGAATCAACCTTTTTACTGGAAACAGAAATAGTTATTACAATAAAAATATAACAAATAACATAAAAGATAACAGTTTAGGTAATATATTTGAATGAGCTAAATATCATTCTTGGTTTATTTTTTGCCAATTAAAAGTCCTCAGGAATGCCGCATGAAGATCTTTGTTTCTCAGGCTGTAGATCAGAGGATTCAGCAAGGGGTCTATGAGGGCAGATGTGACTGAAAGCAATTTGTTTATAATAAGAATATTACTAGAGGTGGGAACCATATAAATAACAATTAATGAGACATAGAAGATGAAGACCACAGCAAGGTGTGATGTGCAGGTTGAAAAAGCTTTTAGCTTCCCAGTTATGTTACCCATTTTGTGAATGGTAATGAAAATACGGACATATGGAAGCAATGTACAAACAAAGGCTCCTAATCCATAACCACCACCTACTATGCGTTCAACCAACATGTTTATGAAGGGGTCTATGCATGTGATCTGGAACAGGTTTGGAAGGTCACAAAAGAAGTTGTAAATGATATTAGGACCACAAAAGGACAACCTGAGCAAAAGGAGGGTATGGATTAAAGAGTAAAGACAGCTAATCACAAAAACTGCAGCAGCCATATGAGCAGAGACTCTCCAAGACATCATTTGTGTGTAATGTAGGGGGTGACAGATGGCAACGTAACGGTCATAGGACATAGCCGAGAGTAAGAGGAGCTCTGAGCTGACAAAGAAGAGAAAGAAAAATACTTGGGCTATGCAGGCAGAGATGGATATTGATCCGCTTTTGGTGACCAAGTCAAAGAGCATCTTTGGTGCCGCGACTGACAAGAAAGACACATCTATGAGAGCTAAGTTGGCAAGAAAAAAATACATTGGGTTGTGCAGATGATAGTCATAAAAGACCAAGACAACAATAAGGAGGTTTACAGTCACAGTGATTAAATAGATTAGAAGAAAGAGGACAAAAAGTCCATTCATGGTTGGTGGATGGTTTGTTAGACCCACAAGAATAAGAGCAGTAATCTTGGTGAGGTTCTTCATGTTATTCATAATACAAAGCCTCTGCCAATGTATTATACAAAGAATAAAAACAAAAAATAGTCTTAGTAAAAATTAAATGAAAAATGTGCGGAGCGTATCCACATAATTCCTCAGGAAATGGTCTTCAGCTCCTGAAATGTACAGATATATAATCCTAACAGACCCAAAGGGCATTCTCCTCTGCTGGAAGAACACAAGCCCAGAAGCCCTTAACAATGGTCTTGGGACCTTTAGTTACAAAAAAAAACACACACACATGCCCCTTGAGAGCCACTTATTTTGAATGAAACAAATTTACAGTCTTTTACATTTTGAAAATATGAATACAGATCTACTGACAATAAGTTTTCATATATTATCATGTTTTATATTTTGGCTAAAATAATTTTTTGGCAGTTATAAAAACTAAAACATTGCTTTGTTTTTTATCTCATTATTTACTAAAAATTATTAATATAAACACTTAAACATTTTTTTTAACAATGATATATGTAATTTCTTTTGTTTTTAGGGGCCGGCCAGTTTAGGCTCTTTTAGTAATTTTAGCCATTTTATCTTGCACAGTCTTTCTACATTTTGAATTCATGAATCCAGATCTACTGAAGTTTTCATATAATGTAACATTTTGTATTTTGGTAAACAGAAGTTTGGGGCATTTTCAAAACCCCAAAACATTGCTTCAGTAAATATATATCGTTATCTGATAAAAGTTATTATTCAAACATATAGATATTTTCAACAATTGCATATTCAAAGAATTGACTTTCTTTTAAAAGACGTCACTTATGTCACTTTGTCACTTGAGAGCCACTTATCTGACATTACACAGTTTTACAGTCTTCTACGTTTTCTAATTTCTTTTTCTAGATTTCCTAAATTTAGGTTTTCTTACTTTGCCGTCTTTTTTATTTCTTGTAAAATGTATGTTTTGGACCAGGGGCGTAACTAGAAATCACAGGGCCCCATAGCAAAATTTTGTATAGGGCCCTGTGATTTCTAGTTACGCCCACCTGATAACCCAAACAGCCCACCTAAGGGTGACCCTGCAGAGCCCACCATAGACTCTCTATGGTAGGCTCTGCAGGGTCTCAGGCGGGCGTTCAAGCCCTCTTACCTGTCATCCCTGATCCTCTGTCCGCCTCCTTCTCCTCCACGATCGACTCCACTGGGCCCCGCCTCCTCGATCACCAGGCCCCGCCCCCTCGATCAACGGGCCCGCCCCCTCGATCGCCGGGCCCCGCCTCCTCGATCACTGCCGATGACGGGCCCAGCTACCTCCTGCGAAGCTGCTGGTTGTCACCAACTCAGTAGCGGCTGTGAGAAGGATCGGAGCGTTCCTCCTCACAGCCGCCAGTGACAGCCGGCAGCCTGGCTGTCTGAGCAAGATGCCATAGCGACCCAGGCGGCCCGCATGGCATCAGGGAGATGTCCTGGCCGGGTCCCATAGCGGCCGCCTGGGTCGCTATGGTGATTGTTACGCCACTGTTTTGGACAGATGGCGCCCATTTAAAAAGCAATACACACTTTTTTTTTTTTAACCTCGGCTAATTAGATATATATTTATTTAATAATTTTATATAAACCTCTACACATTTTTGTATTTGTAATTCTATATACACAGGGACAAGCTAGTAAACCCTTTAAAAAGCGGCTCTGCCTTACTTCTAATTGTAAAAAGCTAAAAGCGAATTGTGATTCTAATTTATTAAACAATCTGAAATTGTTTGTAAGTAGAAAAAAAATGTCCCCAAAGATAACTGCCGTTATTGAAACTAAAGATACCCAGTCTGTGACCAATGTAGGGCCTGTATCTGCAGGCTTTGAGCTTGTGTCAATGGAATCAGTTTGGGTTGCTTCTGAGATCATTCAGAATTTTGTGACGGGTGCATTTGACCTGCAGCTGACCTGCATTTGACTTGCTTCAAGAATCCCTATAGACCAGTGCCTTGCCTTCTGTCCTGGATGAGGCATCCCCCAGCCCGCTGAAGCTTCGCCCTGTCCAGTCGAAACTCCGCCCGTCATGCCAAAACTCTACCCCCCCATCCTGCCAAAGCCCCACCCCCAGCTCGGTAACCAAGCTGTGTGGGGAGGAGGAAGGTAGGAGACAGAGAGGAGCCTCACTTGCTCATCACTGGGGAGGCATGGAGATCGATGTCCTCACTGTTTTTTCTTCTTCTATTTTTTGATTGGACAGCTTGGACAAATGGTGCTTTGGCATCCACAGAGCTCATGCCTCTAACAAAGAGTAGAGGCTGTGACAGCTCTTGCCTCACCAAGTTAGGTTACACAAGCAGTGGGGAAGCCCGCTGCTGTGTAACCTAACTACCTGTCAAAAGCCGGATGCAGCGCCGCCTGTAATTAACAGTCAGTGCTCCGTCCATGACAGGTTACACAGCGTGGAGGATTTCCCTGCTCTGTAACCTGTAACAAGCCGATCTGAATGGAAAAAAAGCTGTCAGCTTCAGACTTGAAGCTGACACCTTTTTTCTTCATAATACTAGGTGAGGCTCCACCCCATCTGCTTTGCCTGACCGCACGTCCCTGCTATAGACTTGTATGTGAATGCAAAACCCGTCTGATGTGAACAAAAACCTGTCCACACCAGCTCTATGGCACACATGTGATCCTCAATCAAAAGGTTTCTGGTGGCGCTATCTCTGCATAATACAAGTAATCATGCAATTCCTCCAGGAATCAAAATTGGGTGGGGATGGACCTCAAGTACAACCATGAATGTTTAATATTTTTAGGGTTAGGAGTTAGTGAATTTTTCCTGAACTGTAAATTTTCCTGCTGAAACCCCTCAACTTTCTCAATTCAATCCTAAAAAATGTATATAAACCCAAAATATATTTCTACAATACTTGTGATCCTGGCTCCTCACTGTATACAGTTTTGGTAAACAAGAAGTTTTTTGTGAAGTTCTTGCAAATGTTCTTATCTAGAGATCCTGACAGAGACAGCACTTCCTTGCAGGCTGACAACGCTAAGCCATTGCCTTGCAATCAGCGGCAGCACTGTAAGCCTGTCGCGCTCTCCTTCAGTTGGCTGTTGGGCTCCCTATCGGGTTTATCCATCTAAAAGTCTAATTTTATTTGTCCTTTTATTGATTTTTATTGTTCTTCTTATTTAATTTGGTGTTTTTAATTTTTTTTAAAACACACTTTTTTTCAAAAATAAAGGCTTTACATCATATGCTTCTCTTTTTTTTTTTTTGGACTGAAAACATACATTTATCATTATATTAAACTGAACAAACCACAAAATACAATTATTACTTTATGGTTTTAGGAACACCAGCTAAAACGTTATCTAATTATTATTAGGGACCGTGGGGAATAAAAGTAGTCAACGCTCCAAGCTCACTCCCGTGGTGGACTACAATCGCAATACAAATTAGTGAACTAAACGTGAGCATGTAGTCCAATAAAAAAATCTAAATAAATTATATTCTTATTAACCCCTTAAGAACCCCTTAGTTAACCCTGATATGCATTATTTAATTCCATCCCCCC